ATTTATATGTTAGTACAGTGTTCTCTTAAACCTCCAATCTTTCCATCTTCCCTCTTGCTTATATCATTTGGTCAGAAAGAAAAAAGGGGGGCCCTTCAGTGGAACCCTTCTGGCTCCCCAGTATCCTCACTTTTCTCTGACACTTTCAGTCCCTAGGGCATGGTTACCCCCAACTCCTCCATGCCCTTGTTCTCTTGAATTACCTTTTTGCCATATCTTCACTACCTCCCTTTCTCTGGCTCCCTACCACCAACACACATGCTCCAGTTTCTCTCATTCATAAACACAAACCCACGAAACCCTTCCAAAGTCTCCTTCCTTTAGCTGTGGCCTTAGTTCTACCTTCTCAGACTCCATTAAAAAGTAGTGCCTGCCCACCGCCTGCGTTCTCATTGGTCCCATCACATGTACCCAACAAAGTCCCTGATGGCATGGTTGCTACGTCCCAAAGATTTCCATTTGTGTCCTACCTGACAATTACCTGATGTTTTCCTCAAGTCCCTCCTCCTTGAACTTCTACTGTTCACAGTGGCTTTCAGGGCACTCACTGCTCCTGCCTTCCTACTTTCTCTCTCTGCTCGCTAGTCCCATGGTCCTCTATCCTTGCAAATTAAGTTCCACGCACCATGTGTTTGTGGTCTTGTGTGCTTCCTACCAACACATTTCATCCTTATTGCTCATTCTAGTTTATGTTTGCCCTGCTAGACCCTAAGATCTCTGGGAGAAGGTTTTCTGTACCCTGCTAACCACAACAACCTGGAGCCCAGAAGAATGCATGGCATAGACAAACTTGGTTTAAAAAAATTACAGATAGGTAGGTAGGTAGACAGACTGACAGAAACATCCCCATTTTATAAAGGGAGAAATAATAGCAGTCCAGCTAAATAGAGGGCAGACAAGGGACTCTTCCAATATCCTCTGCTTTCAAGTCTGCTGATCTTTCCAAGTTCCTGATTTTCCAAAGCTACAGACTTCCTTTGGTAAAAAAGGAAAAACTTCATTTCTCTTTATATTGTAACTCACTGATCTCTGAAGAAGAAAACCTTTACACTTTTTTCGGTGATTCTTGGGAAAACTCCTCAACTTACACTCCTCTCTAAAAGACTCACTACTTCTGCCTTAATCCTCCTTGGTGTAACCCATCTTACAGCTATCTAACATTCTCAACCAAGTACAAAAGCACAGAGATCAATGATGGAAATGACTAAAGGAGACTGAAGCTGCTCTACCAAGCAAAATTCCACAGGTACACAGTGACTATTACACATTTGGACCATGACAGAGCCAAGGAATGTGGAAAAACTGTAACATCGATCACATTTTAAAGAAAAAGTCCTAGCACTGTTCATAAGGAACCAGGATGAGTAGACAATAAATTCCTCAACAATTTAAAATCAAACGAGCAACATACATACAAATAGCACATTCCAAATGAACAATGTGATCAGCGACTATGTATGGCTTTGTGTACATTAATTTTATTTTGATTTAATGTTAAATCAGTGTGTGCCATTCTTTCTTACAATGAAGTCTGTCGGCACCATTTTTGTTTTTGTTTTGTTTTGTTTGATCCCTAACCAAATATCTATGAAGGAGTTCATGAAAACACACCTGCTTCTGTTTTTTACATCAACTTAAGAACCAATATGTATAGAAAGTGAGTAGAGAGACATATCTTTATATCAAACATTACTATTCCGGCATTAATATAAAATCAGAGTTGACCGAAATAATGCTTTACATAGAAATTAAACAGTGCTGCAATATAAGTTGAAATTTTCACATACAAATTCGACCTGCAAAATGCATTATCATTATTGAGACACTCATTGATCTAACCAAGAGTCCACAGTTCAAAGCCTGCATTCAGACACTGCATATCATTTAAGTCCTTTTCAGCTTCTAAGTTTGATACTTGAGCCTATCTGTTTTGCTTTATAAGACTAAAAAACCGAAGTGTGTTCCTCATGCCTCACCTCCAGCCCCCAGCCTTTCTGCCATGTCTGCCATGTCACACAGTAGTTTTCCTAAAAACTAAGCACACACCTTGGTCTCTGTGCCCCTTCGTGGCCAGGACTTGAACTATGCCTCCCAGCTCAAACCCATCCTACTTTCAGGAGGGTTAGTCATGAACATCAAATTCACCTCACCTCCCTGGGGTCCTGAACTAAGTTTGTGTACTGCGGAGTGGCATCCCTTCCCTGTGCTAGACACCCTATGGTGCTAACTGCCCGGGAAAACTGTGCTCTCCCTTCCAGCTTCTCACACACACCAGTGGTACAGTCAGAGCAGCTAATTGCAATATATACTTAATTAGAAGCAAACCATCTTCCTGGCCTGTCCTAAAACAAATCACATTCCTAAGCAGGTTATCTCACTTGCCCCTTTACTGCACGATAACAGATGTGTATTACACTTGTCTCTAATTTTGCACAAAGCTTTCACCTAAACTCCCTTAAGCCCAGGCATTGTGACCTTCCCTTAAGACTCAACTTTAGAGTCTAAACCAACTAGAGGACCCAAGGCATCCACGTGACACTTAGATCATCCCCTTTCCCCTGTCAGGGTGATGTGCTTGCTGACCCTGACAGCTGAATATCCTTGCCATCTTCTTGTTCCCAGCTTCTCCAAGTCTTGATTTTCAAGCTTAGGCCTTTCTTTTCCTGTAGCACTCCAGCCAACCCTGAGGGTTACCTGTGCTTCTCTGACTAGCAAGGACTCCGCCTGAGATCTAAACTGAGGGGACTCAAGGCAAGAGGCAGGCTGCTGTGAAACAGCATTTTCTGTTACTCAATTATTCAAAGCCCACTGTGTATTTCAGCCTTTCTCACAGAGCAGCTGTCAGAACGTGTAACACGTACACGTGTACACACACACACACACACACACGCCAGGGAGAATGTCTCCTCAGGGACTAAAATGCCACTTTCATGTGCTATGTCCTCCTCTCCCAAGTGCATGTCCACTCAAACCCTCTCGATGTCACTGTTGTACCTGCTTTATCTCTTCTGGATCAATAGCAAGTTAAGCACTGACCCCCGGCCTCCACAGCAAGCCCTGGGGCCCTGTTATCTGCAATGTCTTCAGCACCTCATCACCCCAGCATTCTCAGGCTTACTGAAAGTGTCTCAAGTGGACCCACACGTGTTTTGTGTTTCAGTGACTTTCCCCCCAAGACGTTCTCAAATCTGCAGCAGTACTAGGATTCGGTTATATGGAATCAAGAGCAATGGGGCCCAATTTGATGAAAGTTCACTAATTTCCTTTGGGAGTTTCTCAAAACTCAAAGAAGAAAAGAAAGAAAAAGGGAGGTCGAAAATAATGCAGGCAACTGTGAAGCTTTCTTTCTTTTTTTTTTTTTTTTGGTACCCTTCAGACCCAAACACTACTACCTCGCTACGCAGACATTGAGAACTCCATTTGGCCACAAATGCAGATCCTAACAGTGAGCCCCCAGAGTCTGTGCTGAGACTTGGTCCTAGTTTGAAGTTAGTATTTGGGTACTGGATCTTGTCTTTCCAGACAGATGCCACCAACGAGGAGGGTTAAAGAGATAGCACAGACAGAAAACAGAAGAGAACCCAAGACACCCGAAGCACCCCGGCCTCCCCATCGCTGCCACGCCCAAGCGAGAGCGGCCTGGCCTCCTCCCCTCCCGCGCGTGCTCCAGACCGCCCGGGCGGCGCCCCCTTACCTTGCGGGAGTATGGGGGCTTGCTCAGGTGGATGCCGTCGCGGACGAGCTTATCCCTGATCATGATCTTCAGCTTGAGTTTAGGGTAGCTCACCAGCTCCCTGCTGCGGGGGGCGGTGGTCTGGGCGCGCGGG